CCGATACACAGGGGCCAGAGAGAGGGAGGAAGGTTAGGATTTGCAATTTAAAAGATTTCTCGATGCGTGTCGGCGGGGCAGGCGCTCGTTTTTTCCCCCTCCCCTTTCCGATTCGTTGCGGCCCTCTCGAGAAAGTTTCGCTTCACCACCACCAGGCCGCGATAATTCGTTGGCCGCAATATGGCGCGAACATCCGAAAACGGAAGCGGAAGTTTAGATGTAATCAATTCGGTTGTCGTGCCGCCTCGAATAATTCCGCCGAGTTTCCGCCGAGAAATCTCGATGTAGCCGCGGGCCAAAAGTTCAGTTCGTTGCTCTCTTACCTTCCCTTCGCCTGCCCAACTTTAATAATAACCGCGAGGAAAGGTGCGGCGCCTGGGAGAACTTGGACTTGGTTCGCGAAGATCCATCACGAAAATCTCTCGATCTCTCGATCGTGAAGGAAAGCGAATCACTTTTTCTCGAAAACTCGAAAGATTGGTTTCCTCGCTAGAGGTTTAGACCTCGTCTCTTTGAGCCTTGTTTCCCCGTCGTTTAACCCGAAAGTTTGTCTCCCTTCGATAATTCACCTGTCTGTCCTTGTTGCTACAGTGTCTCTCTTAAGAGGAGAAAGAGAGGAGGGAAGCGAGCGTTTGGAATTTTTCTATTATGTAAGAGGATGAGATATCGGAGGGACGTTTTGTTGCCACGATTATCGCGTGGGAATACGCGTAGGTATATATTGGAGCGAATATACAAGGAGGGGGATAAATAAACGAATATCGTTGCACCGAGAAATTAATATTAAGCGATCGTTTCGAAGGTAAATAATCGTGTATACCGCGTCATTTATAAAGTATGCATCCCATGCTTTTGACGTGGTGCCAGTCGTGAGGGAGGGAAGAGAGATTGCTTTATCGATTGGGAAAATTAACGACGAGGAACGTACGGAATTAATAACGGGGAGAGAGTTTGGAAAAAGAAAAGAAAAAAGGAAAATAGCGTTCATCGTTATTTTCCGTGGAGAAAAGGAAGGAAGGAAGGAAGGATTTTTTGTCGGTGGTATCTTTCTGCCTCGTCTATTTATTCTCGAAGCGTTATAACGGGGGATCTCATTGGTTCAATTGAAAGGAAAAGAGGAATTTCGCATTATTGAGAGGCGAACGATCTTCGGCTTAGCATCTTGAACCTTGAAGCGAAGCAGCTTCTTAAATAAAGAAAAGGATCAACTACGATCCACCTAGAGGTTATCTCTCTGATATTCTCTCCTATAGGCGAGAATTTTCCCGCCGAGGAGAAGATCGGGAGTCGAGTTATCCTCGAGATTCGTTGTCTCGAGAAGAGAAATTTTCACATTTTCTTTCTTTCTCTTTCCCCTTCGACAAACATAC